TCTTTTTGGCTAGTATAATTTTATTCACTGAGACAATTGTTTCCTCAACAAACTACATTTGCATTGTTTTCAGGATCCTCTGAAAAATGGGGTTTTGGGAGTTCAAACAATCCGCAACAATATCATGGCATCTACCCTTCTGGCTACAACAGCAATAACTCTTAGTTCACTTATTGGCGTTTTTGCAAGCAATGAATCAGATACCAAACTAGTTTATGGCAACAAAACTTCCCTTAATTCTTCAATCAAACGCCTCTCCATCTCACTATGCTTCCTCGTTGCATTTCTATGTAATGTGCAATCTATCAGATACTATGCACAAGTGAGCTTCTTGATCACCACACATGCACTGAAAGGCCAGAGGGATTTTATAGAATATGCTGCAAGATCCTTAAACCGGGGGAGTTATGCTTGGTCTCTGGGGCTGCGTGCCTTCTACTTTTCATTTCCTCTTGTCCTTTGGATTTATGGGCCAATACCCATGTTTGCTTGTTCCTGCTTCACATCATTTATTTTGTACTTCTTGGACACAACCACTAAAATCACACGAGATCTTCACACCAAGTCATTCAATAAGAGGGAAACTGGGGACACAGAAGCATCCTAGTTTCATAATTCTAACTGTCCTTGAACTTGATAATCTTTTAGCTCGTGGTAAAGTTCAATATAGAGCTTTCTATATTCATGTAATGATACCATTATTGGTTAATTACAGTACAAAAAGCAAATTCGTGAGAATTTGACTCAGAACGGATAAGATTTTACCAGTATGGAGATCTATGTGTTGCTCTTCCTTACACAATCTTCATTGAAAAGTATTTGTAGTATATTGAAGTATTTTGAAGGGAAAAATTGTTTTCTGTGTGAATGATTCAATGATTGGAGAAAATGATAATAATTGGGGTTTTGGGAGTTCAAAAATCAGCAAAAATATCATGCCATCGACTCTTCTTGATACAACAGCAATCACTCTAGTTCACTTATAGGCGTTTTTGTAAACAGTGACTCACATACCAAACTAGTTAATGGCAAAAAAACTGATGTTCAATTGTATATTTTCTAAAACCATCTCTGTTTTGTTATTGTTACTGGTGAATTATTTATACTATTGACTGAGAAATATGTGTTGTATCTTGAAGTAATTTTCCCCCTGTTAATTTGTTTCGGTCTAACAGCTTTTACAATGATTTAGTTCGGTTTGAACACCTAATATCAATCTTATGCTTGGTGAATAAAGAACATGAACTTTATTAGTGGCAAGCATGTAATGGATGGTGCTGGTTTACCCATTATACAGTTATTATTACTCTCTCGAATCATTTCAGAAATGTCCTTTCATTGTATGACCAAACATATATAAATGGATGGCATAGCTTTGAAAAACCAAATCAGATTTGATTGGAGTATATAATTGGTTGTTTGCATTAGATTAAGGCATGGCATGTCATGTCATGTCAGGGCAATGAAACGAACATAACATGCTCTCCAAGCAATGTGGGACTAGCTTAATTGATTGTCAAAATGTGAAAAGATTGATGATATATATGTATGCAAGGGAAGTCAATGATTGGAGGAAGTGATAATATTTGGACAAGCAGGATCAAAATCATATCTTTTATCTTGTTTGATTGGCTTCTAAGTAAATCACACTTGGAAATGCAACTACGTTGAATAGATATAAAAAAGTTAAACACGATATAAGATAAAAAATTTATAAATCCATTAAAATTTTGAGTTAAAATTGATATCAATCATTACCTTAGACTTACGGTCTTATTGACGTTGTGTCTTCAAAGTGAATTCTCTCTTGAAAAAGACTCATTAATCACTTTATTTTTCTGTAGGATGGGAAATGCATAACAGAAGCAGAAAATGATGAACATAATGGCAGAAAAATATCTGCTACCAATTCTGGTAGTGGGAATTTCAACATATCAGATACCCTTATCAACAATATGGTATGCCAAATCTTTCTTACCATACTAAGACTAAACCTTCTTTTGAAAGGTATTCTTTTTTTCATTCACTTTTAAAAAATCAGCTCACTTTTTTTCATTCCCAAAATTCCAAAACGTAAAAGGGTACATTTCAAATTACTTTTTAGGATTAAAGAAGTGTGTGAGTCGATTCGTTTAGCAGGAAACTGCTACCTCAAACAATGATTATATTCAAAATTGAATAACTTTAAGAATTTAAGCAGAATGTTTTCAACACGTAAATGTTTTTTTAGCATTATTTGATGTGATAAACCTGAGTAGCTGTTAGAATATTAGAGCAAATTACCGGTGGTGGATGGGTACGTGAAAAAGGACATATTCCTGCATGGATATTCAAAACTTTGAGAATGATTGGATAACTAGTTACTGTGAAGAAGATTATCTCAACATCATATATCAATTAATAGCAACTTGGGTTGGCAAGCATGCAGATGATAACATGGACCAGCCAATCCTTAGCCGAAAGCTTGCAAATTCCACAATAAGATGCATGTTTCTGTGTTTGTTTTGTACTTTTTAGTGACTTTTTCTACTCATACCTTGCATAATAGAAAAGAACGAACCTTGTTTTGTTCTTCTGTCAATTTTTCAAACGAATTTTCAAAATGATGCTTCATTATGTGAACCTTGTTGCGAATGATCTTTGCTTTTCTTTTTAGCGATTGTTTATTTACATTGAATGACTGACTATAATAGTTATGACAAAAGTTATATGAAATCCGTAAAGTTAAAAAAGTAATTTTTATATTTTAGTACTAATTTATTCTTATTGATGCTAATTTTTCTAATACAGTTGTATTATCCTACATTGATTTGGAAGGAGATTCTACGTTCGTTTTGACATGAAGATGTCAGACGTAACAAACAATGTGAAACACTAATTGTGTGCAATGTAGAGGGACAAATTCTTATTTTCTACTTCAGACATTAAATATTTTGAATATCTATCATAACAAGTTTTGATCATAATTTCACTTTTATCAAGACATTCATATGTTATAACAAATCTTCTAACATTGTTATAATAATTCTTATTTTTATTATGAAAATGTTATCTATAACAGGTGAATTTTACTTGTCATAAATGGTTATAGAATTTCTTTTTTTCATTAATAAATGTTAGTTTTTAATATTTTATTAGTGAAGGAGTTTAATCCACAATTTTTTTTTATTTTTTCATATTAAATTTATCAAACTAATTTTATAATTTTTAAATATGAATATAGTTGAATTCATAATCTCGTGTTTTCTTAAACCACCTTGGAAGGATAGTCTAAGTTGTGTTTGCTCACTTTCAGACACAGTTTTGTTTATCTTAATATTGGTCTTAGCAACGTTGGTGAGCGATGTATAGTTACATATGGAACAATGTCAAAAGGAATCTTGGTCCTTATCAGCCATCAGAAACTAAATATTCTTTAGACCAAAAACTGCATGCGATTCGACTAAACATGCAAAGCATATTACGATTCTAGCTCATTCTCGAATGCAACAAAGTAAGACACCACTCCACTTTTTGTTATGGTGTGATTTGATCTGAACAATGATAATAATAAACTATAAAACAACATCATTCAAGATCTAGACCACCTTCGTATATTATTAAATCTTATTATATACTTTTATATTTTATAAATTATCATTATACTTTTATGTTTTAAAGGTTTGTAGGCTTTTTTTCTCTTTGATTGTAGGATTTTGGTTTGATAAAATACGAACAGATCATATAAGACAACATCAAACTACGTTCAATAAAAAAATACATTAAAAAAATAGATTTATATATTTTTTCTATTTATATATTATTTATTTTACTTGTTTTTAATTAATGTGAAAAACTTAACTTATTTTGGATTTCTAACATTTTAATCTTTTCTATATTGACAAAATACTTTTAAAGAAAAAATCTTAGCCTTAATATTTAAAAAAAATCTTAGCCTTAATTATTTGAAAACTTAATTTTATATTTTAATTTTTACCCTTTTGCATAAGTTAAAAATTGTTATGCAATAAATTAAATAATTTTTTGAGAATTTGTCGTTGGAAAATAGTATAGTTAAATTGTGTTACCCAAATATAGAAAGACTAATTGCTTGACAAACATTATACAATATACCAATTAATTATTTTGTGTGGTATATATATGTATGTGTGTGTGTTATAGTGTACTTACGATAATAATACATCATCTCCATAATTTTCTTTGCCTATTAAAAAAATAGTAAAAAAGTAAGGTTATATCCTTGATGGTAGAATTATATAGTATAAAAATAAGTACAAATTTCATCTTTTAATTTAATTTTATGATTTTTTTTTTTGTGTTTATATCAATTTGATCGATAGAAGTCAGTTTAACAAAAAAGAAAAGAAATTAAATTTTAATATTTTTCTTAAAAAAATAAGCATAGCTTAAAATATTAGCATTTTTTTATTCTACGTTAATAAACATTAATGTGTGTGATTGAACTTTGAATTTAAATGTGATAAAAAAATTAGTTAAACTTCTATATTTATATTTTAAATATTAAAAGCCTATAAATCTATTTTTATTTGTGATATTACAAAACCATGATATTATATACCTTTTAAAATTATTTATATATATTTTCAATCACTAAAAGAATTTGATTAAAACCCATTTGATTTCTGTTCAACTATGAAATCTTAGTATGTTGACAATAGCTTTCGATTTTCAAAAATACTGGTTTATATGCAAGACAGGAATTATAGTGGGAGGAAAAAACTGGTGAAAACTATATATATGCACGTAATTAACTTGTATAGAATCAATGAAGAAGAAGAAAACTGTTACTGTAAGTTATAATTAATTATCATTTTGAATTAGTGGTTTATATTTGATGATATATGAAAGTGGTCTTTAAATAGTAATGAGCATGTAAGTCACATCCGAATGAGTGTGGATCTACAAATTTGGAAAGGGTCTCTGTCATCTGAAAATAACAAATTTTCCTTCGTGATGAGCTATAGCTTTAAAGCAGTAGGTCTAGAAAATGGAAGAATACTTTCATTAATTTCATGTTTCTTGCATTGCAGACAAGGCAAGTGATATTTCACTGTATCTTCTTCTTCACATTGTTTATCAGATATATATGGGTTCTATCTTGGATTGCAATACCACTACTAAACTACTACTATACATCAATTTCCTACCACTAATACGTCACATGAATAGTAATAATGGGGTCATCTTCATCCATGAAAACCACCCATTTCTCTCCTTGTTTTTAGTTTTAAACTTTTGTTCATTCACCATAACCAGATATTATTTACAGTATATAAAGTTATTTGATCTTGGTTTTGTTCTTGACCCTTTGTTGTTGGCTAGATCACCTTGTAAATCATTGAACAAGAGTGTGGGGTACTGACTGGAAGAATCTTGAGAAATCAAGTATGTATGTGCCCTACAATATGTCATAGTCAGTTTTGAATTGGACCCCATACATTTTCTTCGCAATCCCTTGCCACAAATTCCAATTGCATGTGGTCCTTCTTCCATAAAGCAAGTTGTACTACATTCTTCTTGTTGAAAGCAAGTCAGATTTTTCTTTCAAGCACAAAATACAGATCTTCTATGCCCAAATCAAATGTTTATACACACTACCACAGTGAAGGAAATCAGCAGCAAAAAGAACAAAAGTGTGTAGAAAATTACAAAAAAAAGCTAAATCCTTCATCAGTTTCTCATTCTTACTCTCTCATGCCATCGACAGACAGATAACTCGTAGTGTCCAACAGCCACACGCGTCTAACTACAAAAATATAAAGGTTAATTAATACAGCAATCATATGTTGGCCTAGATATCTATATTCATATCAAATAATATTGTAATTTCATTTCATCATTTTATGATATTGCAAGAAATTAAGGATAAATAATACAGTTGATGCCATCACTAGAATCATTATCCATTGATGCAGCCAAATCTGTTTTCTAAAATCTTGTATTGTGTAATTGTAACATCTGCAATCAGTAGAGAAAAGTGGCTAGTTAGATTCCAGGAAGAACATCAAATTATCTACGAACTTGGTGGTTGATAAAAGGAAATATACCAACAGTTGGTGTAGAGAGAGGAGGAATGAGAAACGGAGGCTGAAGGTGATGACAGAAGCATAGAGAGCACAAAGGAGTGAGATGCACAATCGATCACTTCCTTCTCTCTCTCTCTCTCTNGTCTAAGTTGTGTTTGCTCACTTTCAGACACAGTTTTGTTTATCTTAATATTGGTCTTAGCAACGTTGGTGAGCGATGTATAGTTACATATGGAACAATGTCAAAAGGAATCTTGGTCCTTATCAGCCATCAGAAACTAAATATTCTTTAGACCAAAAACTGCATGCGATTCGACTAAACATGCAAAGCATATTACGATTCTAGCTCATTCTCGAATGCAACAAAGTAAGACACCACTCCACTTTTTGTTATGGTGTGATTTGATCTGAACAATGATAATAATAAACTATAAAACAACATCATTCAAGATCTAGACCACCTTCGTATATTATTAAATCTTATTATATACTTTTATATTTTATAAATTATCATTATACTTTTATGTTTTAAAGGTTTGTAGGCTTTTTTTCTCTTTGATTGTAGGATTTTGGTTTGATAAAATACGAACAGATCATATAAGACAACATCAAACTACGTTCAATAAAAAAATACATTAAAAAAATAGATTTATATATTTTTTCTATTTATATATTATTTATTTTACTTGTTTTTAATTAATGTGAAAAACTTAACTTATTTTGGATTTCTAACATTTTAATCTTTTCTATATTGACAAAATACTTTTAAAGAAAAAATCTTAGCCTTAATATTTAAAAAAAATCTTAGCCTTAATTATTTGAAAACTTAATTTTATATTTTAATTTTTACCCTTTTGCATAAGTTAAAAATTGTTATGCAATAAATTAAATAATTTTTTGAGAATTTGTCGTTGGAAAATAGTATAGTTAAATTGTGTTACCCAAATATAGAAAGACTAATTGCTTGACAAACATTATACAATATACCAATTAATTATTTTGTGTGGTATATATATGTATGTGTGTGTGTTATAGTGTACTTACGATAATAATACATCATCTCCATAATTTTCTTTGCCTATTAAAAAAATAGTAAAAAAGTAAGGTTATATCCTTGATGGTAGAATTATATAGTATAAAAATAAGTACAAATTTCATCTTTTAATTTAATTTTATGATTTTTTTTTTTGTGTTTATATCAATTTGATCGATAGAAGTCAGTTTAACAAAAAAGAAAAGAAATTAAATTTTAATATTTTTCTTAAAAAAATAAGCATAGCTTAAAATATTAGCATTTTTTTATTCTACGTTAATAAACATTAATGTGTGTGATTGAACTTTGAATTTAAATGTGATAAAAAAATTAGTTAAACTTCTATATTTATATTTTAAATATTAAAAGCCTATAAATCTATTTTTATTTGTGATATTACAAAACCATGATATTATATACCTTTTAAAATTATTTATATATATTTTCAATCACTAAAAGAATTTGATTAAAACCCATTTGATTTCTGTTCAACTATGAAATCTTAGTATGTTGACAATAGCTTTCGATTTTCAAAAATACTGGTTTATATGCAAGACAGGAATTATAGTGGGAGGAAAAAACTGGTGAAAACTATATATANAAAAAAAACAGCTCAGAAGAAAACTCGACTTAATTACGCATAGCAGTTACTGCTCACTGGTATGGTCTTAGACTGAATATCCATGCTGACTATGTTATCATGGACTGTTGCTGCTGATGTATGTTTGATTGAGATGTATAGCCTTTTGAGGCTCTAATTACTGTCTTAGAAGGTATGAAAAAAAGTTATGGAATTGATTGTGCTGGTATATTTTCAGGAACCGATGAAGAATGGGGTTCTGGCAGTGCAAACTATTCGCAACAATATCATGGCATCTACTCTTCTATCTACAACAGCCATCACACTCAGTTCACTTATTGGCATTTTTGCTAGCAGTACCTGGAATAATGACGAGCCTTTAATACCTTACGGTAATAGTTCAGTCAAACATATTTCTGTCACCATTTGCTTCCTCATTGCATTCTTATGCAATGTGCAGTCCATAAGATACTACTGCCATGTCAGTTTCTTGATCACTGCACCAACACTCAGAGACAAAAGGGAGTATATGGAATATATTGCTGTGACTTTGAATCGTGGGAGTCATGCTTGGTCTATTGGACTTCGAGCATTTTACCTGTCATTTGCATTCTTCCTCTGGATTTATGGGCCAATACCTATGTTTGCATGCTGCTGCTTGACGTCACTTGTTTTGTTCTTCTTGGATACAACAGCTAAAATCACGCGGAATCTTCATAGTAACTCATTCAGGAAAGATAGGGGAACCCATGATGTAGAGTCTGTTGTGGAACCTGATTATCATCCTTTGCCTGCTAACAATTTGTATCAAAACTCAGACGTCAATCATGTATGAGAAATTATAAATGTAACAAATTTGTACTTTCCAATTGAGAAGTATGAACATGTTCCAGGGGTGTTATTGAAGGATTCAATGAGAGTACTAGGTAGTCATTTTTGTTTACTGGTATGTTAGTTACATTTCACTTCATTGGGATGAACTTGCTTACAATCGTCCCAATCATTTTTGCTGTACCATTCAATCTCTCACTCTTCTACAACAAATTATATCATGACAAAGTATCAACAGTTTGATTAGTCATCATTCATAAAGGGGCTTGCACTGCATGTTTGGATAGCTAGACTAATGGAATTCTGTCAAGTTGTCGCCACATCGACCATATGACAGCAAAGATAGAAGCAGCCATATATTCTTGAGTTTCCTCGGTTACCAAATCGTATTCTGTAAAAGATCGATGGAAGATCAGATTGAAAACCAGAGCTAATAGAAAGAAGACCAAACAAGAAGTAAGACAACAATTGAAGAATAGATGTTGATGTCTTTTTTTTAGAAGACAAACAACAAGATCAGTCCATCTGTTCCTGTGTTGGAAGCTTATCTAAGATGACCTACACAGGCAGCTGTTAATTACTTAATTGTAATTTGTAATATTATATTATGATGATTCATGCATCACTGAGGGCTACGTGTGATCCACACACTAAGAGCATTTTAGATAAATTCAAATACTACATGGGCAGGAATTAAACTAAAAGGTGGAGTAAACATCAGCAGCAATCTAATTATAGATAGTAAATAATTTTTTATGCTACAATCTAATTATAAATTATAAAGGTCAATGATTTCCGATTAGATTTTACTGTAAATTTCCTTACACTTGAGGAAGTTAAGAACAGATTTTTCTACCTGTGAGGCACATCATTTTTGCTTGGAGAGAGGGGAAGAAAGAGAGAACCTCACCCTCATTTTCTTAAACAGAAGATATATATATATATATATGCTGAAATGAGTGTATGTTTACGCTGAAAGTGATGGGTTTAAGGGTAAGTTGTTTGTTGAAAATGCTTTTGATTGACTTGTATGCAAGATGTGGGGTGGTTATAGAAGAAAGCACTTGATTTTCCTTTGATTGATCTTTAATGGAAGCCATCTAAGATGACCTACACAAGACAGCTGTCAATTACTTAATAGTAATTTGTAATATTATGTTTATGATGATTCATGCATCATTGAGGGATTATTTAATAGTAACAATGTAGTTATCGACAACACAATTATGTAAACACTATTATTGCCAACCAATCTTGTTTATAATAACTTTGTTGAAAGGATAAACGACAACATAATTTTGGCCGACGGTCTTTTTGTCTAAAAAGCACATAAGGAACAGTTCTGAACAGTTTCAAGAGTGATAACAAAAATAACAATAGAAAAGGTGTTGAAAATTTAAAGTACAAATGTAAACCTATCTTACGAGTGAATTTTGCAGTGGATTTTATAGAATTGAGTTAAGTTTATAAAGTACTTGAAACAAAATGGCACGTGGTTTGAGCTAGTGGCATGTGTAAGCATTTCTCCATGGGACCTGACAAGAATAAAGAAAATGACCACATGGAAGAACATGTTATCTCCATCTCAATTTCAGTTCTTTTTTAGTTTCTTCAGATAAATTTAGTCAAATCAAATCATAATTGGGAAACATGGTGGAAAGCATATACTAATCATACTAATAGTGTCGGTATTAATTTCCATTTCCCAATTTTTATTCAGTCAGAAAAAATGGATTTGATTATAGTTTTTGCAGACTTTACGAATTAAAAGATCAACGGGGAACCTCTTTATCTTTACTTACCATGGAGGAAAAGAGAAGGTTTTGTGAGTGGAAATGTCAAGGTGGGCTGGAAAAAGACAAGGGTAGGTCTGAGTGAAAGGAAAGAAGAACCAATCAGAATTCACTGAGATTATAAAGTTTTGGTGTTGGGTGTTGGTTATGTTGTGAGGTAAGTGATATGTGAACAGTAAAGTTTGAAAATTGAAGAGGCAGCATGGAAGTAGATGAACTGGACTACGTGTTGGTGCCTCTGGGTGTGTTGGTGTTGGGAATCTATCACGTTTGGCTTCTCTGCACTATAATTCGTTACCCATCTCACACTGTCATTGGCTTGAATGCTCAGTCTCGTTACCAATGGGTTCTTTCCATCATGGCAGTCAGTACTCTGTTTCTCTCATTTTCTCTATTTTTCACTTTACACTTGGCACATATGTTGAGATTTTCCATTCACTATTGATATTACTAAATAGTTTATATAAATGGTGAATAACCTTGAATTCTTTAGCTAGTTATAGGACTGAGTTAGATCCAAACTTAGATTCTAAGATGGCATCAGAAAACCTATCTTAATAGTTGATGTTGGGAATTTAAGTGAGTCAGGTCACATGGTGGATAAAAATGAGAAAGTAGAGTATTATACAAAGTTGTAATACCCATTAACATATTGTCTTAAAGTTTTAGACGGACACCGGTGTCAATTTCTTATATAGTTGGAGTTAGATAACCAACGGTTGTAGTGGATAGAACTTTAGGCTAACTTTTGGAATTGAGTTAGGTCCTAAGGCTAAGTGCTAAGATGTTTTCTCTCTTACTGAGATGTGCAACTTCACGTGTTATTTCTCAAAGACTGTCTATTATCTTGTACAATAACAGTTTTGAATATTTGTCTTTAGGAAACTACCTGTAAATA